AGAATAGATGAATAGAGAAACAACAAAAGTTTTACTCACTTTAAGGAGAAATAATAAAAAGTTATCATAACTTTTAATGTTATTTACAATCTGTAATACTAAAAGTCAATCACTTTAATTTCTTTATCATCGATTTATGTATTTTATTGTTTTGATGATAATTATTTTGATGATGATTATTACTTACGCATGAACACGGATAACGCATATGTGGAAGCGTTTATATATAATTAATTCTAAAAAATGATATGTAATATAACTATATATACTATAAAATGATTGTAATATAACTTTATTATACATGATTGAATTTAAAAAAAATAATTTTTAATTTGGTAAAAAAAAATTTGAAAAATTTGAGATAATTGAATGATAGGGGTATATCGTCAAACAAAAAATTTTTTTGAATTTTTTTCTTAACTTTAAAGTTTTCTTGAAACCGTACAACTTTTGTTTAAAAAATTTGTCCTATCATTTATACTTTCGACGATATTCAGCTAAAAAGAGAAATATTAAATTCTCGGTCTCCATTCCAAAAGCTTTTTGATCTATCGCCTATCTTTCATTCTGGCTACGTGTCCAGTCTATCTCTTTTTATTTTGTTATATGTTTTATAATATCTCTAATTATTGTCCTTGATCTGTTATTACTTTAATCGGTATTCCAAAGCAAGCTATCCAATTCGTGAATAATTATTTAGCAACTATCTCTGCTGAAATGTCTCTGATGGGAATTGCCTCTAGCCATCTTGAAAATTGATGATACAATAATTGTAAGGTAATATCGATATTGGATACTAGTAATAATCCTAGAAGATCTAAATGAATGTGTTTAGTAGACGGATTAAAGGTTCCAATAAGTATTACGTCTTGTTACTTTCGATTTCTAGCATTGGATACATGATTGAGCCCTTGCAATCTTGTTTAATACGAGGTCATATATCGTTGTGCTACTAATTTGGCTCTAGCTCCTGAATGTGAAAAACCAGGAAAACTTAAAAATTTGCTTTCTAAATGATCCTCGATATCAATGGTGCTCGAATAATCGAGCTATTAGCCGAATCGCAAAGCAATTCTCTTGTAGAACCTGAAATTGCATTTTTGAGAATTTAAATCCGCTTTTCAAAAAGTCCTTGAAGCTCCGAATATTCTTTTTGAAATTCAGCTAGTTTTTCGAAATTAATTGTCTCCTATATGGCTTCTACTGTAGAAAGTGTGTCAGTTACACAGTTGTCTTTTCCGAAAATATGACGGATATCCGTTGTAAATTATTCAATGTATTTGTTACGTTCAAACTCCACAATTCTTTTCTTCGATTAAAATTTTCGTCATCACCATAAAAGTTATTAAGAAGTAATATCGGTAGACCAGGTTTCTATCATAGGAAGTTACAATAGTGACGAGCCGAATAACATTTGCCTTTTTAGACTATTATATATATAGCAGAAATAAAACGTTACTTTTTAAACTTTTTTTATTAATAATTTTTTAACGAATAACAAGCGACTAAAACTTGTTAAAGACTCATGTGCTCATGACTGTGCTCATGACAACATATCAAAGTCGAGGTTGTAGATGGTTGTTCTCCTTTTCTGCAATTTTATATATTCATAATAATATTTGGACATTTTAAACTTCTTATTTTAATTATTTTTAATTAATTGCTATATAGTTTCATGTATATATAACTTCGATCATTAATTTTTCTCTTGTCTTCCATCTCTTCCTGTCTCTGTTTCCTTACAAACAAGCAAACATTTATAAATATCTCATATCTCGTTTTTTAGTACAAAAAAAATCCTCTATTATAGTAAAAAAAAATCTTCTTAATATATATAATAATAGAGTTTAAACTTAATATTCTTGAAGCTTCCACGAGTCCTTTCTATATAAAAATTATGCGTTTTGCAGGTTTCTTCCGTGTCCAGATCATTCTTGGAATGCCAAAGTTTCATGAATCTTGCAGTTCACTTCATCAGGGCGAGGAGCCTGATACTGTCTGCCTGAAACCCGCGAAACGCATAATCTTATAGAATTTAAACTTCTTATATCCCTTTAATACTATCATTAACAAGCTGTTATTGCTATCCGATTTCAACTTATTTCTATTGACCTATGTGCATAGAATTATACAATCTCTTATATTTTTCGTTTTCTTTTTAAATTCGTTTTGTTTCAAAACTATTTCTTATTTCTGTTTTTGTTATCCAAGGCGGCAATATTATTGTGGCAATATATTCTTCCTTAAACAATAGTGTTAGCAGTTACGATAATATGAAAAAAAACTGTAAATAAAATACAACAACACAAAGTATCAATTCTTTATCATAAAATATCAAGTAATGATTAAAAGATTAGTGATTAATACTAAAAGTTAAACTTATCTGAATTAATCTTAACTAAAGAAGAAAAGAAATCGTCATCAATGTAAAAACGGAACCAAAGAAGAATGAGAGAAATTTATTCAATTTGTAATCATTTTACAATATTATCATTACACTTACAGGATACGTCACCAAAATCCGGACAAATCGAACAATTTCTTTAAATGTTTTTATGAAAAATTAAATATTACAAAAAGTTTTTTTACATGGCACTTGGGCGATCCCTGTAGAGCACAATTATTCGATATATCCATTAGCTTGAATGACGACCTCTATTCTCAGTTTGAAGCGTTCGTACGCACATTGTAATGTAGTACTGTCCATATCGACGAATGCGGTTCTCAATAGCGGTTCTTAATGATAACGTCACATTGAGATGCCGAGATTTGTTTGTGATCTTTTCAACTACTCCATACATAGTAGTCCAAGGGATTTAAATCTGGACTATTGGGAGGCCAGAATTCTTTGGACCAAAACATATTGATTTATTTCAATATGTTTTTCCTCTTTTTTAAAGAAATGGTAGCATAACATCACCCTCACTGGACATATAGTACGTGAACATTGACCGGAAATTTTGTTCTGGCAATAACAGGGACATCCTTGGAGTTGTAGACGAGTCATCGGTCGTTCCTCCAGTTGATTTTGGCATCAACAGTAAAAATTTTTTCGTCAGAAAAGAACTTGATTCGTCTCGACGTTTCGTTTTTCAAAGAATATAGCACATTGCAGCAACTCGGCTTGTCCTGGTAGCCTTAAAGAGCATTTGTCATATCTTTAATGTGTAACGATTTGTATCGAAGATCCTCCTCTGCAATTCGACGTTGGCTCGCTTACACCAACAATTGAGACTGATTTTCGAAACGTTTGCCCTGGGTCATCCGAAATCAGTGCTTGAGCTCTTTCAACGACTGCGGGAGTCCTCGCGGTTCTTTCGAATGATTCTTCCTCGCTGGCATATTGGAATCTTTATTGGACTGTTTTAAAGCCGTATATTGCCAACGTTATAAACAGTTGATCTCGGATATCCAAAAACCCGAATTATTTCCGTTGCTGAGCCAATACGAAGACCTTCAATGATCGCGGCTTTTCGATTATACTCCGCACTTTCAATATAACGGTTTCAATATAACGGCCATTTTAAGATATGTACTCTAAAAACTCTAAATGTTTACATAAGTTTATTAATTTTATACCATTTGGAATAAATAAATTTTTTAATATTCTGTAAAAAATATATAAAAGAATTAATTATAAATATGTATAATACAATTATATTTAAAATATATTAATATATGTTCTTTTTCTCTGGTCCTCAAGATTGATTCATTCTTATTCACATTGATTATATAAAATCTGATGCATTACTATCATATTCTATACTTTCATAAGAAGAGCGTAACACTAATCATATAATAGTAAAATAAATAATTAAATTAAAATATGTACACCATTGATGGCGGCTCACGTTGTGCTATGTCCCATGAATCTGCAACACTGCTTCTTCCATATCCCCTTTGAGGACTTGCTCTCAAATAATATTTCATGAATATTTGTCAGAACAGAAGTTATTTCTCATAATGCTGCACCTTTTATTCTATCCCATATGTTTTTCAAACACGAGAACTCAAATTCCATTACGTCCGTCTGGTGGCAAACTCGCGTACTGCTCGCTGGTGAATGATGAAAATAAAATAACGAAAAGATATTTTTTCCATATTTTTTCAGTAATACGAAAAGATGTCTTTTTTTAATTGTCTTTTCAACAAAACTAAAAGACTCTTACATTCATCTTTCATCTTTCATCTTGTTGAAGAGACAAAACGATTATATTTTCGTCATCTTTTAGACATCTTTTCATTATCTTTTAGTATTTTGTATTGTCTTAAATTTTATAGATCAAATTATGAGTCTGCTTCTTGAAAATGTTATTTTTATGACATCTTCAAAAATGACAACAAATGGATTTCTCATAAAAGATATCATAATTATATGTCTAGTTTTTGAATCAAATATAGCGACGCATGCACTATATGTATGGCTTAAATATCACACAACATAATAATATCTTCTTATCCCTGAGAGAACAAATTGATATCATTTAGCATGACATCATAAAGATAAAAATTTCAAGAAATCTCCGACATGAAATATTTTAAGAATTCTCCTAGTAGATGCTTCTGATAAATGATTATTACAAGATATCATTTGGACATCATTTTCAAGATAATTAAATGTTCGTCCACAAACAGGGAAGAACATATGGATCTTGCTTCGAATAAAAAATCGTTACAAAATTTTAAATGTTAGCTTTAAAACCAAATTCTCTTCTTTAAAAAATTATATAAGAAAATAATGTTTTTACAGAAAATTTTTTGTTTTTAAAGCAAAAAATTTATTTTGAAGCAGAAAATCTTTGTTCTATCGGAATGTATTTTGTTGAGAACTTTTAAACAAATAACTAACTCGAGCTAAAACCTTCCGATGATCACTCAGAGTCATGACTATATATGTCAAGGTTAAGGTTATATAAGGTAAAGGTATATATTATATAGATAAGTCCATTGCTTTTAAGATTTATCAAATATTAATCACAAACAATACATCATATTTAATTTTTGTTACAGCTACAGAAGATAAGTTCGAACTCGTGTATAGGAAAAAGATTATAAATAATAAAGATGGAGTCGAAATAATGTGTATCGCTGAAGGACTTTATCCTCAACCGGCTTTAAACATTTCTGTCGAGTAAGTGCTTTTTATATTCAACAATTTTTATTAAAACGCCCTTAAAATTTAAAAAATTTTAATAATTTTCTAATTATTTTTTACATATAACATATATGTACTTCTCTATTTTTTTTGGTGTGTCATCGGAATATTTCGCTCTCTACATATTTTTCACCTTTTGTTTTCATCGTACAATCAAGGAAAATTAAAAATGCGACTATTAAATTCATAATGTCAAATTTTGCACAAATTATGTTTATGAAATTATGTTTAAGCATTTCTGTAGACCGCTGCTCCTGTCCAATAAGTTGTTAATTTGACTAAAAAAAAATCATAAAGTTGAATAATTTAAAAAGATACACTAAATTTCATTCAAATTTAATTTATAATTTTCTAAATGTACATACATTAATATAATGGACAATGTCAATATTAATGTTAACCACACAATTAATGTAAATGGATTTACATTTTGACTTATACGGAAGATTAACTAAATGTATTTAAAGAGTTTGGTTATCATTACTCCTTTTATATCTAACAGTGCATTTCTACATCAAATCAAAGGAGTTTGCAAATTACTATTAGCGCTTTTGCTATTATTCAAGTAAATGTATTTTTCTTTGGCTTTTTGATAATAAATAGTATGTTAATAGATTCTGTAACTGATGTCGCAATCCCTTGAAATTTTCCGTTAAAATTAAATTCTTTTATTCCATTCATATTGCTTCATCTTCAAAATTTCGACTTTTTAACAATACATGATAATAAAACTGCATCGACAAAAATCTAATTGCATCAAAAGCTTTCTATTATTCTTCCAATGACTATGTTTTGCGACGCAACATTGTTACTTTGTATGTGCTTAGCCGATTTTTTCACCTCATTTGAGCATGACATTATTTTTAAGTGTATTAAGAACGCACAAATACTGCGAATGCATTCGTTGTCTGCATAGGAGGGCATGTTGATTTTCATTTTCAGATAGTAGGGTGCTTTGAGAAGATATTCCTTTTACCAATCGCGTAAGGTAATTTTCGTCATTCTTTTCTCATTATACTTCTTTAAAAAATTTTAGTGAAGAACCTTCTAGTGAAAAAAACAAACGATTGAGTCGCATGAGTTTTTTTATACATAACTAATCATTCAATAATTATATTCGCAGTAGATGTAATACATTATAAACAGGAAAGATGCAAATAATCCGTATGGCCTTGATACGAGATATTAATCCTTAAAAATAGCCGAATACTACTGTATAAGAAGTATATATCGAGCGCTTGGCGCGGGGGACCGTGGGGAGCGGGGATAGCCTGGCATACATGTCGTCCGAGTTATGGAAGCTTGCGGCGATGTGCGCGGCGCGGGGCGCTTGCCAGCCAATCCCCAACTTCCAACCCGCGCGCCAAGCGATATCGATAGGCATATATCTTCACAATAGGCCAAGCAAGCGCGTGTATTCGGCTATCTTTAAGGATTAATATCTGATTAACTATTGAGGAAATTTACAAAATGCTAGAGGATTTTTCGACTCAGTTTAGTTCCGCTCTACCTGCCTATGAAATATTTGGCGATTATTTCCAGACCCTGTATAGATTGCCAACTTCGGATTTCTAGGTAACCCATAATTCAACAATGGTGGCAACATCGCCAGCAACACCTGACGATCTTTTTTAAAGAGGGGAGGAAAATACCACCTTACTTAGACTGTGTTCCAAAAGTAGGATATAAACACCAATTCTAACCTACGGATACAATAACTAGCAGACGGCTCTAGTGCCGCACGGTGCCCAATAGAGACTGTTTGAGGAAGAGGGAAGCGCTTCATCGGGGTCCGTGTTAGAGGAGAAGAAGGGATTTGTTTCTTCTCTCTTTCACCCGTTCTCTCTTTAAACTATTGTTCTCTTTCTCTCCTATTCATTAAGATGCAGTTCTCTCTCTTCTACCCGTCTCTCTTTCCTTTTCTTTTATTGCACACGATTTTATTAAATAGATATGATATTTACGATTTTTAACGATACGATTTAGAAACTAATTATGATAATATTTTTATGAATTTTTAATAATATAATCTAATAACACTAATTATAATAATATTCTTTTTCATGTAATACAAATGGCCAAGCGCGCTTTCTTATTGATTAATTCAATACACGAAGATATGAAGAAAAAGTGGCGAAGATACTAAGGACAAAATAATTTTAGAAGAAAAGAATACATACTTTAACATACATTATTCATCATGCAATGTAGTATGTATAATCTAAATCATAGACTATTAGTTCACATTCTATAAGAGAATTTTCATCATAAATTTTGTACAAAGTGTTCGCTTTTATTAATAACACAATTTTGTCTTAAAAATGACACAAAATATTCGAATTTCTTACTATCATGCATATATTGATAATTTATCTCATAATTTATAGAATACATGTTCAACACATTGCTCAAGCTCAAATAAGAAGAGCACAATTGTTGGTTTCATGTACAAACATGCGCCATAATGTTAATTTCACGTTATTCGTATATTTTAACAAGTTTAGATTTAACACAGATTTTAACACATTTAGATTTTGAATTGGTGATGGGACTGCATTAATCACTCGATATCTGCACGTTTTTCATGTAGCATGAGGTATGGACATGTGGTTGTCTCGATTATCACCAATCGCGATTTGCACATGAGATATAAATCCTACAATGATCCCAATGTTCAGAAATTTGTATGCTATCGATATCAATGCATATTTCTTCATTAAGATACGAAACATGTAGCGAGATTTCGAATGCTATTCTCTTATCAAAAATGAATTTCGAGAAAAGAAATCAAAAATATTTAAAAGGAAATCTTCAGGCATTGTGACCACCAGTATGTTTTAAACACATTTTGTAATGCAATTCTTAACATATTTTCCACATCAAACAGTATTAGTAATATTCAGATTACGTAAAGAATCTTCAGCAGCCAGGATCTCAATGATCAAGTCATTGCTATTGAATATATCAGTCAGCTATTCGCATTTTTTAAAATTCTTTAACATACGAGATCCTTATTGTCATCATTCTCTTCCACACCAATTACAACCATTGTAATCAGACGTTTCATCATGCTGTACGGAATCATTCTGTCTTCCTATTGCAATCCATAGTGATGCACAAGCACTCAAACAACAAGGAAGCGTAGTCCTTTCCGAATTTTGTTAAGAAATTCCATGGCATGGAACATGTAAAAATGTTATGAGAGAATGGCTCCGTTTCTGAACACCGTCACTTCCTTCACAATAATTTCCTTCCAATGATAAATCTTTATACAAATAAAATTATGTATGCATTAAAAAAGCATGTTTTATTTATGTCATTGTATTTAACGATATTTCCAAAAAAAATTTTAGTCGATTCCAGAGGTGACACATCCCTTTATTATTGAATATTGGCACGCTTACTGAATGTAAGTAGATCAAAAAATGAAGATTTACTTATATAATATTGTTACATTAAAGATTTTGTTAAATTAATGCATTATAAATATATAAGCTATGATGTAATTTTTTATTATTGAATGCAAAAACGGTTATGACACCTCTCAGCGCGATCTGAGTTTCTTTCACTTAATTCAAAGAATTTATTACGTCTATATTTTAACATTAATAAATTTCACATTAAATATATTACAGATATGGTGCATTTTCAAATCATAATAAAAAAGAATATAATTCTAAATGTATGAGTAAGTATAAAATGCTAAAACGAATAATATACGTTTCTGTGCAAACGTTCGCTACCGAAATCTAAGTTATCTTGAAGAATTCATTACTCGTGTAAGTTTAATGTTAAAAACGTTATGAATTCTTTTTAAAGATATAAGAGACCAACATTTGTCAACCTAACTGTTAAAAAATAAATACATTATTTCTTCGAATGCTCTTGCACGGTTTATTCACTGCAATAAACTTTATTGCGCAGTTTACAGAATTGTCTATGTACATACGTATATAAATTCACACCGAAATATATAGGCAATAAAATCAGCTTTGATCGAATACAATAGAATTTTTTTTTTACTTAATTGATGGAATTAAAATTTATTTATATGATTAAAGAAGTTTTTTATGGTTTATAAAGTATATATATGTATGTATGTATA